CCCCGAAGCGCCCCAAGAGGGTCCCCCGTTGGCCCAGAAAAGGCCCCCAAGACGGCTCCCGACAGCGTCAGACGTGCCAGGAACCCACCAAGATGGCCGAAGTTGGCTCGAAGCTGGCCCAAGACGGCCAAAGGGGCCCCCAAGAGGGCCTCCACGAAGGAGGGAAAAGGCCAAAAACCGTGATGTTCCTAAGGATTTCGAAGGATTTTGACATGTCCTCCCAAGAGCCCCCAAAGATCGCCGAAAGATCGCCCAAAAGGCCTCCAAGACGGCCAAGATGACCTTCAAGACGCCCACGTGTTCCCCGAAGGCTTTCCAAACCGATTCGGGGAACACATGGTCCAATAGCTTGGCAGGCCTCTGGCCTCAACGTTCGGCCACATAGGCGATTTCCAAAAGGTAGGGGGCGGCGGTGATTCGCCGTAGGCGTCTTCGATCAGCCGCCTCCTGTCGATTCATCGCAGGGGCGCCTGGCGTGCTGAACCCTATCGGTTTTGGTTTTGGTTCTTTTTCCAAAAGAACTCCTCCTGGGGCTTCGGCCCGTCCTGCCGGGGTCCCGGGACGCTTGCCCAGAGGTGGCTGCAAAAGGTTTTTCCTGCCCCAGACGCCTCCAAGATGGCCACGTTGGCCCAAGATGGCCTCCAAGTTCGCCCAAGATGGAGGCACAGGAGAGGAGGAGATGCCTCCAAGTCTGCCCAAGAAACCTCCACGACGGCCCAAGACTGCCCAAGAGGTGCCCAAGAGGCCTCCAAGACGGCCCAAGAAGCCTCCGAGAGGTCCTCCAGGCGCGCCCGAAGAAGCTAAAATCATTGATTTCCCTTTGGTTTTAAGGGTTTCCATATTTGTTCCTTTTCGTCTTTCCGACGACCCAAGACGGCCAAAGAGGCCCCCAACATCGTCTCCACAGCGCCCCAGAGGCCTCCAAGATGGCCTCAGGACTGCCCAAGAGGCCCCCAAGACGGCCCCAAGATGGCACAAAGACAACCCAAGAGACCTCCAAGACGCCCAAGATGGCTTCTAAGACGGCCCTGGAACACCCCAAGAGGGCCCCAAATCGGCCCAGAAAGGCCCCCCAAACGGCTTCTGACGGCGTCAGACGGGCCAGGAGCCCACCAAGATGGCCGAAAGTGGCTCGAAGCTGGCCCAAGACGGCCCAAGAGGCCTCCAAGAGGGCCTCCGGGAAGGCCCGCAAAGGCCAAACTCATTAATTTCCCATTGGTTTTTGAAGCATTGTGGCATTTGCTCCTTTTCGGCCTTCCGACGGCCCGAGACGGCCCAAGTACCCCCAAAGATCTCCCAAGAGGCCCAAGACGGCCCTAAGAGGCCCCCAAGACGGCCAAAGAGGCCTCCAAGACGCTCAAGATGGCCTCCAAGACGGCCCAAGAGCCCTCCAAGACGTCCTTCAAGAAGGCCCGAAGGGGTCAAAATGGCCTCCAGACGGCCAAGATGACCTTCAAGATGCCCACGTGTTCGGCTTTCCAAACCGTTTCGGGGAACACATGGTCCGATAGCTTGGCAGGTCTGGCCTCAACGTTCGGCCACATAGGCGCTTCCAAAAAGGCAGGGGGCGGCGGTGATTCGCCGTCGGCGTCTTCGATCAGCCGCCTCCTGTCGATTCATCGCAGGAGCGCCTGGCGTGCTACATGATTTCGGTTTTGGTTTTGGTTCTTTTTCCAAAAGAACTCCCCCTGGGCCCCAGCGCGTCCCGCCGGGGTCCCGGGAAACAGCTCCAGGCCCGCAAACGACCTCGACGACCGCAACAAATTCTCCAAGACGGCTCAAGATGGCCTCCAAGACGGCCCAAGATGGCCTCCAAGATGCATCCCAGACGACCTAGATGGCGTCCATGACGGCTAAGATGGCCCCAAGATGCCTCCAAGACGGCCCAAGATGTACCCAAAATAGCGTAGGATAACCTCAAGATGGCCCGCGAGGCCTCAATACGGCCCAAGAGGCGGCCCGAAGAGGCCAAAATCATTGAGTTTCCTTCGGTTTTTGAAGGATTTTGGCATTTGCCTCTTCTCGGCCTTCCGACGGCTCAAGACGGCCAAAAAGGCCGCCAAGATCGCCCCAAGATCGCCCACGAGGCCTCCAAGAGGGCCCCAAGACTGCCCAAGAGGCCTACAAGACGGCCCCAAGAGGCCCCCAAGAACGGCCCAAGAGGCCTCCAAGACGGCCCCAAGAGACACCCAAGACGGCCCAGAAGGCCTGTAAGCTGCCCAAGATGGCCTCCAAGACGGCCCTGGAGCACCCCCCGAAGGCCGCAAGTCGGCCCAGAGAGGCCCCCCAACAGGCTTCCGACGGGCCAGGAGCCCACCAAGACGGCCGAAGATGGCCCTCAGACAGCCCAAGGCGGCCCAAGAGGCCTCCAAGAGAGCCTCCAGAAGGCCCCAAAATGCCCAAACCATTGATTCCCAATGAATGTTTGAAGGATTGTTGCATTTACTTTGGTTCGGCCTTCCGACGGCCCGAGACAGCCCAAGAGCCCCAAAAAGATCGCCCAAGATGCCCAAGACGACCCCAAGAGGCCCCCAAGACGGCCCAAAAGACGCTCAAGATGGCCTCGAAGACGGCCCAAGCGCCCTCCAAGACGTCCCCCAAGAAGGCCCGAAAGGGTCAAAATGGCCTCCAGACGGCCAAGAGGAGTTTCAAGATGCCCACGTGTTCCCCCAAGGCTTTCCAAACCGATTCGGGGAACACATGGTCCAATAGCTTGGCAGATCTGGCCTCAACGTTCGGCCACATAGGCGATTTCCAAAAGGCAGGGGGCGGCGGTGATTCGCCGTAGGCGTCTTCGATCCGCCGCCCCCTGTCGGCTTGCCACAAAGGTGCCCCGCGTGCTGGATCCTTCCGATGTTGGTTTTGGTTCTCTTCCAAAAAACTCCCCCTGGGGAAAGACCCTGCAACAACCTCAACGACCGCAAAAAATGTTCCAAGACAGCTCAAGATGGCCTCTAAAATGGCCACGTTGGCCCAAGATGGCCTCCAAGTCGCCAAAGGTGGTCCAAGATGGCTTCCAAGACGGCCCGAGAGAGTCCAAGATGCCTCCAAGACGGCCCAAGATGGCTCCAAGATGTGTCCAAGATGGCACCACGAGAGCCCAAAATCACTCAAATTTGGCCTCCATAGCGGTCCAGACAAAAATGCCTCCAAGACAGTCAAGATGGCCCAATTGAGCCCCAGAGTGCCTCAAGAGGCTCCCAAGAGGTCTCTTCCTCCCTTCCCATTTTCCTCACTCTCCTCTTCTTCCCCCTCCTCCCCCACGTGTTCCCCGAAGGTTTTCCAAACCGATTCGGGGAACACATGGTCCGATAGCAGGGTTATGGCCTCAACGCACGGCCACACAGGCGCTTCCGAAAGGGCAGGGGGCGGCGGTGACTCGCCGTAGATAACGCCAACGTCTTAATCTGTGCTGGTAATTCCTATCCGCCGCCGCATGTTCCCAGATGCACCAAGGCAGCACGGAGACGCATCGAGGCGACTCTGATATATCCTATTCTGATTGAGAGGGGGCCAGCGGCAGGGGGCGAAGCCCTCAAGTACGGATAAGAACATCGCAACTTCGATTCGTACTTTCCCCGGCCATGATGAAGATGGGCCTCGCCGCTCCTTTCCCCCGACCGCCTTTGTCTCGGCCCAGGAAAATCAACTCTCGGGTCTTACGGGGGGATGTTACATCGCCGATGCACGTGGGCCCCCGATCGTGGGCCACGACCCGAGCCTCCTGCTGCCCGTCGAGACGCGGCGGGCACCACCAGGATGCTGCCCGAGAGGCGCAGATGCTGCCAAGCATCAAGCGGCTGGGACACAGGGCCGTGCACGGCGACGGCAAAACCGAACACCGACCGATCCGACGACGGCACCGAAACCGACCGAGATCGACAGGCCGAAAGCAAACCAAGACAAGCGCACAGACGCGCAATGGCACAATAACCAACCAGACCGAACGCAAGCGACTGCGACGCAACCGAACCGACCGAATGGCGAACGCCGTTGGAACACCTCTTCGAGCCGGCCGCCACGCAGCAACAACTTTGTTGGCCAGGGGCACGGGCGAGCGCACAGCGCGCCCTGGCAGCCCGCGGGCCGCGCCGGGACCCGTGACAAAACAGGCACAGCAAGATTTGGGACTGTGGCGCGCGCGAGGAGCAAACATAGCAGGCCGCTCTCGTCCACCGCGGCGAAGACACAAGCCCTGGCCGACAGCCCTCGCGGCTCCCGTGTCCAGCCCCGCCCCATCCTCCCGTCTCCCTCCACCTGCCGCTTATCCTCCCTCCGCCCTGAGAACTTCCCCCCTGATCCTTCCTCCTCCCTCCAGAACTCTTCCACGGCGGGCGCCGCTCACTGCTCCGTCTGCTCACGGAGCGCCAGACCACATGGACCGCTCTTCGTTGGCCGTCTGTCGCGCTGGAGAAGAGCCCCTCCCCTCTGCGCCCTCCCGGGGCCTGTCGGTGGTCGGCACGCAGCGCCGCACGCCGGGCTTGACGGCGCGCGCCCAACCGGTCGCGAGGAGAATCAACGAACACGCGACCCCGTGTGCATTTGCAGGGTTCGTGCGCTCATTTTCCCTGAGAGGCTCCCAGATGTTCCTCGATGGTCCCCGCCGAAGCAAACTGCACAAGTCCGAGCGATGCCGAGCCCATGCTCCCTGCCCCTCCTCCCTCCCTCCTCGTCTCCTTCCTTCCTCCCTCCCTCCTGTCTGCCCTCCCTCCAACACCCTTCTCCCTCAAACCCCCTACCTACGTCGACGCCGTCCCAACGATGCACGTGATCCCCCGCGATTTTCCTCCGTACCCGACGGGCCCTCGCGCCTGTTCCTGCAGGACTCGTTCCCTCTCGACGTCTTGTGAAGAGAGGCCCTCTCGTGCTTCGTCTATCGAATGCCGACTTTCCCCATCGTTTCATTTCCCTCCATGCTGCTGTCAAGTCTGCGGTATCTAGACGCGTGCAGAGGTGATTGAATCTGTGACAACCCAACAACGATGCAATGAAGGCGCCGCCCGCAGAAGCGCCGTGTAGGTCTCGAAGGTCGGCGCAATTTGCGCATCCTGCATTTCAAACCTGGGCGGTATCCGTTCCATTCCTCTGCCTGTCCCTCTCCCTCTCTCTCTCTCTCTTTTTCTCCTTTTGTCTCTTTCTATTTCGCGCGCTTTCTCTCTCTCTCTCTCTGTCTCTCTCTCTCTCTCTCCCTTTCTCTCCCTAGTTCTCTCTCTCTCTCTCTCCCTTTCTCTCAATAGGTTCCTTTATGTTGTTTGATATTATCTCTCTCTCTCTCTCTCTCTCTTTCTATCACTCTCTGTGTGTGTTTCTCTCTCTCTCTCTCTCTTCCCTTTCTTGGTGCATCCGTCACCGAACCACAAAGTATCCCGACAAAGCAACCTAACAGCATATCTGGAAGCATTCCACTTAAGATTCAGATGATAATCCAGTTGTAGAATTATGCTGTTCTCGCAGTCGTAGGCGCATTCGCGACGACAGTCGCAGCCTGCCTCAGCATCAGCCTACCTCAGCCTCAGCCTCAGCCTGCCTCTGCCTCAGCCTCAGCCTCAGCCTCAGTCTGCCTTCAGCCTCAGCCTGCTTCAGCCTCAGCCTCAGTCTGCCGTCGGCCTCGGCCTCAGCCTGCCTCAGCCTCAGCCTGCATCAGCCTCAGCCTCTGCCTCAGCCTGCCTCAGCCTCAGCCTCAGCCTCAGCCTCAGCCTCAGCCTCAGCCTCAGCCTCAGCCTGCTTCAGCCTCAGCCTCAGTCTGCCTGCAGCCTCAGCCTCAGCCTCAGCCAGCCTGCCTCCTCAGCCTGCCTCAGCCTCAGCCTCAGCCTCAGCCTGCCTCAGCCTGCCTCAGCCTCAGCCTCAGCCTCAGCATCAGCCTTCAGCCTCGCCTCAGCATCAGCCTGCCTCAGCCTGCCTCAGCCTCAGCCTCAGCCTGCTTCAGCCTCAGCCTCAGTCTGCCTTCAGCCTCGGCCTCAGCCTCAGCCTGCCTCAGCCTCAGCCTGCAGCCTCAGCCTCAGCCTCAGCCTGCCTCAGCATCAGCCTGCCTCAGCCTCAGCCTCAGCCTGCCTCAGCCTCAGCCTCAGCCTGCTTCAGCCTCAGCCTCAGTCTGCCTTCAGCCTCGGCCTCAGCCTCAGCCTGCCTCAGCCTCAGCCTGCAGCCTCAGCCTCAGCCTCAGCCATCAGCCTGCCTCAGCCTCAGCCTCAGCCTGCCTCAGCCTCAGCCTCAGCCTGCTTCAGCCTCAGCCTCAGTCTGCCTTCAGCCTCGGCCTCAGCCTCAGCCTGCCTCAGCCTCAGCCTGCATCAGCCTCAGCCTCAGCCTCAGCCTGCCTCAGCATCAGCCTGCCTCAGCCTCAGCCTCAGCCTGCCTCAGCCTCAGCCTCAGCCTCAGCCTCAGCCTCAGCCTCAGCCTGCTTCAGCCTCCTCAGTCTGCCTTCAGCCTGCCTCAGCCTCAGCCTCAGCCTCAGCCTCAGCCTCAGCCTCAGCCTCAGCCTCAGCCTCAGCCTGCCTCAGCCTCAGCCTCAGCCTGCTTCAGCCTCAGCCTCAGTCTGCCTTCAGCCTCGGCCTCAGCCTCAGCCTGCCTCAGCCTCAGCCTGCATCAGCCTCAGCCTCAGCCTCAGCCTGCCTCAGCATCAGCCTGCCTCAGCCTCAGCCTCAGCCTGCCTCAGCCTCAGCCTCAGCTTCAGCCTCAGCCTCAGTCTGCCTTCAGCCTCGGCCTCAGCCTCAGCCTGCCTCAGCCTCAGCCTGCCTCAGCCTCAGCATCAGCCTGCCTCAGCATTCAAAATGTGGCCCGGGAATGGAGTTCTGGGAACTCGAAGACCACGAAGTGGCCTACAGTTGGCTCCGGGCATTCAAAATCATGCCCAGGAATGGAGTTCTGGGAACTCGAAGTGGAGGCCCTTACTTGGCTCCAGGCATTCAAAATCATGCCCAGGAATGGAGTTCTGGGAACTCGAAGACCACGAAGTGGCCTACAGTTGGCTCCGGGCATTCAAAATCATGCCCAGGAATGGAGTTCTGGGAACTCGAAGACCACGAAGTGGCCTACAGTTGGCTCCGGGCATGTAAAATCATGCCCAGGAATGGAGTTCTGGGAACTCGAAGAACACGAAGTGGCCTACAGTTGGCTCCAGGCATTCAAAATCATGCCCAGGAATGGAGTTTTGGGAACTCGAGGACCACGAAACGTGTTACTGTTGGCAAAAAAAAACGCGGATTCCCGGGGCACCCGTCCGGCATCTGCCCAGACCCCCCTGGGGAGTCATGATGCTGCTCTCTTTTGACCCCACTAGAAACCTATCAATCTTCGCTGTTAGGTAATACGGAATGGAATGCCATCAAGTCTCTTCGGAGCCCCGACCATTGAATGCTAACGTGTCCCCGAAAACCTCGCACCCCCCCTTGCCGGGATTTCTGGACGATTCTGAACACTTTTGGGGTTCGTCGCGTGACTGTTTCGACGCCCACGGGGGCGATCGGCCCACGTGATTACCAATGTTGTTAAGGTAGCATGCTGAACTAGGGACGACAAAGCTTGTCCATTTCTACTCTAGCGAGTGGGAAGTCCTCTAGGCTGGTCACCTGCTGCGAAAGCACAGACACGAATGCGCACTCGCGCAGTGCACACGTACGCGTGTGCATCTCGTAAACATGTGCATATTTGTGTTGATCCAGCAACAAACTCGAACAAGACACACATGCACCCTCACAAATGGACCTGCGCAAGAACGAACACATGTCGGTAACACGGACTCTGTACGGAAACCAATCGCTTATTCACCCGCGGGTCGACCAAATAAGCTAATCCGAACACGTCGAACACTGCACACCTGCACGAGACTGCAACATATCTGCCCGCGTGTCCGCCACACAAATTCACACAACGTGTGCATGCCCAACTAATGCCGTCGCTTGCCCGCGCAACACCAGATTGAACATCGAACGTTGCACACCTGCAAAGACTGCTACCTACATGCCAACACACCAATGTGTGGACAACGTATGCATTCCTAACTCATGCTGTCGCTTGCCGGCACAACATCATATTGAACGTGTGCGTGCGCCTGCGTATCAAACGAACCAGCTCGCGAGGCCAATTTTCCCACACATCCGCGCCGTGCCATCTCCTCCCCTGCCTGGCCGCCGCCAGCAAGACGCCCGGGATTCGACAGAAGCTGCCTCCTCCTCCTCCTCCTCCGCCTTTTCCTCCTCCTCCTCCGCCTCCGCCGCCTCCTCCTTCTCCTCCTCGTCCTCCTCCTCCTTCCCCTGGCGCTGGAGCCAGCGAGGTCATGCTCGAACACAGGCTCCCCCGGCAGGCCCGCAGAAGTCCCAGAAGGTCCCTGGATTGGCGCCTCGGCACAAGGGGTTCCCAACAATAGCTTCTCTCGCCACAATTCGGAACCTCTGGGCCCCACGGACCGGGGACCTACTGGCCCAGGTCAATCCACACCCGGGTCAGTCGCTGGTTGCAGGATCCTGCAAGATCTTGCAAGATCCTGCGCCATAACCAAGGTCAGTGCACCCCTGGCTCCGCAAGATCCTGCAAGATCCTGCGGTCTGGCTGACCCCTGACCCCGTCATTTGAGCCCCGAACGGGGCTCGTGAGGGGTGCTCTGGGCTCCATCTTGTCCTCCCTAGAAAAGCTGGGGCCACCTCAGGCCGAAGCCACTTCCAACACCATCCCGACGGACGTTTCCGGAGCCCTCTGGGAGCCAGAACGGACGTTTCCGGAGCCCTTTCAGGGGCGCAAACACGTCAGAACACCTCCAGTAACGCGGTGCACGGCAAGCCAGCGCATACTGGGCGTTGGAACCAGAGAGTCAATGCTCGGGCCCAATTCCCCTCGACGTTGCACGCGGCGAAGACCTGGTGGTACGTCGAACATTCCGGCCTGACCTGCGGGGCGGCCAGCTTCGGGTCGAGCGGGGGGGAGGGGAAACGGAGCGGGGAGTAGTTACCAAGTGGCGCTTCATTATGTCATAGGAGAGCAGGACGAAACGGATGTGAGGCTCAGGTAGGTTTGGATCGAACGGGCATGCGGAGAGGGATCCCTGTCGCCCTTGAGGTTTGACCGAGAGCCAGTGACGGAACACGCAAGCCAGAAACGACGAGGAGCAGAAGGAGGAGTGCGAAGATGAAGATAGAAAAGGAGGAGGAGGAGGAGGAGGAGGAGGAGGAATGCGCACACCCCCATGGGAGGCCAGTGACCGGTGAGAAGGACGAGGAGGAGGAGGAGGAGGAGGAGGAGGAGGAGGAGGAGGAGGAGAAGGAGAGGAGGGAGGATAAGGGTGGCAGAGAGAGGAGAGAGGAGGAAGGAGGAGGGAAATCGATGCACTCTGAAACAAATAGGAGCAGCAGCCCTTGTACCCCCAAGCTGGTCGGCGAACCCAGCCATGTGCGCGAAACACATACCCAACATGGCACGCTGTAGGAAGAACAGCGTTGACCCCAGCCCGGTCGAAGGACAGCTGCTTCATCTCCTCGAAAGTGCACAACGCGGACTCCCACTGGTGGCCTCGCGTGGCGACCGACGAGGTGGGCGAGGCGGGAGATGTGACTGGGGCGGGAGGAGGAGGACGCGGCGAAGAGGAGCAGGAGGAAGAGGAGGAAGAGGAGGAAGAGGAGGAGGAGGAGGAGGAGGAGAAGGACGAGGAGGAGAAGGAGAGGAGGAGGAGGAAGAGGAGGAGGAGGAGGAAAATGTAGGACGAAGAGGAGGGAGAGGGAGGGCGGGGGGGAGGGAGTGCGAAAAGGAGGGCGGAGGGCGAGGAGGAGGACAAGGTTGGGGCGAGGACGAGTAGCAGGAGGGAGGGCGAGGAAGGATGGATGACGAGGGCGAGAACGTGAAGGAAACTGAATACGAAAACGAGGCAGAGGTCGAAGAAAAACGAAGACTGGGATGAGAGATCCGGATCCTGAGGGAAACGGGTCCTGAATCCTGGGCCTTCTCCCCCGGACCAACTTCTCATCCAGAGCTGTGTTCTGGCAGTCCTGGGCTTGCCATCGCTCGGACGTCCATTCCTGGTGCATGTGTCGGCTTCGTGTGTTCTATGTTTCGCAAAATGATCTAAGACACTCCTCGATGGTCCGTCGCCGCCGAGAAAAAAATGCACACGTCCGAACGACGCCGAGTGAAGGACCCAGAGGACGGCGGCCCCGCCCCGAAACGAGCCGAACAACTCTCCAGGTGCTGCTGAGAGGCGCCGACCAAGGCCCAAGAGCGCCCCGAGACGGCCCCAGAAGGCCTCAAGAGACTGCCCGCGATGCTCTCAAGACCGCCCGAGAGGCCTCCAAGAAGCCGCAGGAAGGTTCCACGAGGCTTGCCAAAAGGTCACCGAGGAGAGCACATCATTGATTCCCTAGTTGAGCGGTCTCGTCTTTTTCTGGCTTCCGACGCTTTCAATACGGACCCAAACGCCCCTGATATCGCCCCCTGAGACGTCCCACGAGGCCTCCAAGTGGGCCTCAAGACGGCCCGAAGGGGGCCCGAATACGGACCCCAGAGGCCCTCAAAACGGCACAAGACAGCCGCCAAGAGCGGGAACGCGAACCAACATGTCAAGCCCTCCGCCCCAAGATGAGCCCCGACACCGCCAGCAACCCCCAAGGACCCCCCCTGACACTCCAGGAGGCACCCATGACGCCCAAACCGGACCCCAAGAGGCCCCCAAGAGGACACCCCGCAACTGCCTCCAAGAGGCTTCCTAGAGGCCTCCCAAGAGAACTACGCAGGCATCCAGAAGGCCTCTGACACGAAGACAGCCCAAGCACGGTGGCGGGATGTGCCGAGGTTTTGTTGGTCAGGGATCCGAGGGCTTGCAATCTGCGGGGAAGAAACGCGAAGGCAAAATCTTGACGAAGCGCAGCCTGCAAGAACTACGTCAAGGACCGGCCGGCGCCACAACGGCACGCACCGTATAGCATGTCGACAACGCGTTGGCCGTGAGACGAACTGTGCAAAGACCGTGGGGAAGTGCTACTGGCGGTGTCCGATGCGCTTGCCGTCGCGAATGGTCGCGGCGCCTCGCGCCAACGGGCGCGTTCGCCCCCGGGCCCGAGCCTCGCGCTCGGCCGCCCGACCCGGCCCATTGACTTGGGCCGCCGCGGCGGGGGGCAGAAGAGGGAAGTTCGCTGGCAGCCAGGCCGTCCACGTCGGGCGCCGCTTATCAGACAAGCGCGCGACGCGCCGCAATCGCGCGTGGAAATTGGGGCCGCGCGCAGGGCGCGCGCCAGAGCCGTCGACGCGCTGCTTGACGGCCAAACGACGCCCATGCGTGGCCCGGCAATGGCTGGCCAATGCGCGCTCGGAAAGAAACCGCGCTGGGCAAACCGGGCGCCGGCGGCCCAATCCGAGCCCGGCTCCGGGTTCCGGTTGCCCGGGCAAAGCGGCCCTGTCCAGGCAGGACTCGTGAAAGCAAACCACGTCGAAGATCTGGGCCCACTTGGCGGCGCCCCTCAACAGGACAAGCCACGCCTGCGGACCTTGCCGCAAGGAAGGCGCACAGGGCACCAGACCGAGCGAGAGCGCCCTCAACGTCAGCCCGGGTCGTCGCTAGCCACAGTAAGCCTTGCTCTCCGGCGCCGGCCTGCAGCGGGGCGAGGAGGGGCGCTGGGCGGTTCCGGGCCAGCCTGCCGAAGTACCGCAAGCGCGCGCCCATCTAGATGCAATCGAACGAGGGCTGTCCAAGCTTCTCCCTGACCTCCCGGTCAGGCAGCGCCGCCACCTTGAAGAACTAGGGCGTCCTGTATACGTCGAAGCATTCGCATGTAGTCCCCAGACAGGCGTCGAATCGCCTTGGTGGACAGGGGGCAGACGTGAAGTTTGAGGGCGAGGCGGGAGAGGGCGAGCCTGCGCAGGAATGCGATCTTGTACTTGTCGTCCATCAACGGCGAGCCGAAGACCTTGCGAGATATGGGCGCATGCGCCGTCATCGCAGACTGCGACCTGTGAGCGGCGCTGCGGAATGACATTCCGCACGCAGAGACCCACGTGCCGAGGTGCTTGTATTCCTCGAACACGTGAAAAGATTAGCTGGAGACCGGTATCGGAATGGCCAGTCTGCCGTCTGCTTGCCGCCATTGCTCTCGAACTTCGGCCGAATGCTTGCCCCGAAGAGCAAGGCGGCCTTCGGTCTTGCCTTTGTTCCAGTTGATATCCATGTGGAGCTCGCAGCTCGCTGAAAGCGCCGAGCAGAATCTCTAGCAATGCGTCGATGGCGCGCCAGCTCCCAAAGAGACTCCGACAACAGGATGACGACCTCGTCGTCGACGAAAGTGGCGTCCACGATCTCGCATTCACGCTGGTCTTCGACAGCAGCTGGCTCCCAAAATGTACCCGGGGCCTCCGGGGTGCGGAGGGCCCGGCCCTTTTCGGCGCAATCGCCACCTGAGCATGTCTAGCGCCGGGGTGTAGGCCGAATTGAAAACGAGGGATCCGAGCTTGCAGCCCTGGCGCCCCCCTGTGTAAGAGGCTACGACGCGTTCCCCTCCTGGCACCTCAAACCACGATTGTTCGTGAAGCGCGCGGGCCATCTCCGTAGCCGCGTGGTTGGCCCCCCACTGCTGCAACAAAGGGCAGCGCTCCTCGGTGTACACGCACAGCCACCAGGCCGCGCGCGGGGCGACACCGAGCTCACGGAGGCGGCTCTCGCGGTGCTCACGCTCCACGCAGCCCCAGCCCGTGACGAGCTTGCGGATGACCCTGTCGAACGCCGTGGTCAGGTCGACGAAGAGCAGGAACAGCGATGCCTGCCACGCCTGAGCCAAGGCAGTGGCAGCGAGGACCATGCGCGCAGCGAAATCCGTGCCTCGCTTAGCCACTGCGCCGAATTGCGTGGCCGGCAGGTGCTCGTTGACGGTTGGCTCCACTGCGTCCTTGACAATGCCGGCCAAGCCCTTCCCAGCGTGGTCAACGAGGAGGATGCCGCGGTGGTTGTCGCAGATTCTGCGGTCACCCTTCTGTTTGTGGAGGTGCGGGAGGAGGCCGCCGCACCACTGCAAGGGCCACTGGTAATTGTGGTGCGCCCGCTCGTTGACTGAGGCGTACAAGGTTGCAGCAGGGCTCCCACCAGCCACCAAGATCTCGGCGGGTATGCCATCGATGCCCACGCCACTTTTGCGGCCGAGCTTACGGAAAGCCGCTGCTGTCGAAGCTGGCCCAGCGTCCACCAGCAGGGCGTCGCTGTGGGCGGGCTGCTCCGGTCATCGCGTGTCGTGTAGGGTGGTCAGCTTCCCTTCGAAAGCGTCACAGACATGTTCCTCCCAGCGCGCGGTCTCCTCGGAGGCGTTCTGGGTGAGGGTGCCGTCGAGCTTGGACACCTCTGTGTTGGCGACGGCCGAGAGTGCGCCGAGGGCGAAGGCCACGGCAAATTGGGTGCGCACGTCACCAGCGTCAGCTGCCGCCTGAACCTTCATCACCATGTTACCGAGAAACTCCATGCGATCCGCGTGCAGGGACTTGCGCACGCACTTCTGCAGGCGCAGAATGGCAACGTAGAATGCGATTTCATGCTTCCGCGCTCGCGCGTGGGAGTTCAACGAGTCCATGGCTGCACCCAGCGCGAAGGAGGTGGACGACGACATGGAAGACGCGGCTGAAGGTTGCGCCCGCCGGAGCCTCCAACCGGGGAGCGCTGCAAGCCACGTGCCGAAGAATGCACGTTGAAACCCAGCGAATCGATGACGCGCGGCGTGACGAGCGCGCCGTCGAAGGGGTGCAATAAGCTGAACTATGTCCCACGTGGTCTGCGAAAGCCACGGTTTGCGCGGCAGGGGCTGTGCCTGGCCGAACACGTCCAAGGCGACCTCCGTCATGTCGGAGTTTACCCGCGCCAGCTGCTCATCAACGTGCGGCTCGTCAGGAATGGGAGCTTCACGCAGGCGCGTTTGGAATTCCTGGACCAAGATCGTGTCTCCCGCACCCGCCTTGTCGATGCGAACCTTAGCCGAGCACGGCCTGCTGCACAGTGCAAGTGGCCGAGACGGCAGAGTGTCGCGCCGCCCGCTGAAGGTGAGGTCCATGTCTGCATGCACCCGGACGTCGAACGCCCATGTCTGGTGGACGCTCCGGACGAGGACATCGTCGATCCGGTGCGCTGTGTTCGCGTTGTGGTACCAGGTGGGCTCTGCACTGGAGAACGTGTCGAGGGCAACAAGCTGCAGCGTCTCTGCGAAGATGCGCAAGGATGCGCCGTTCTCGTTGGGCGGGCGGGGCCGAAGGCTTCCGACGGAACCCTCCCGACCCTCGCGTTCGCATCAATGGCGACGAACCAGAATGCTTTGGGGAACCGTGCCTGGAGGTCGACGGCAGCGGAAGTGAGGTCCGTCGCCTGGAGATTCATCGCAGGGTTGCCTGGCGTGCCAAACTATTTTTGTTTGGGTTTTAGTTCTTTTTCAAAAAAACCTTCCCCTGGGGCTTCGGCCCGTCCCGCCAGCCACCAGAAAGGATGCCGAAAATTTGCCCGGACCCGGCTCTGGTCCAGACGGCTCGACGACGGTCCAAGATGGCCTCCAAGATGC